TAAATTTTACAGTAAGTTAAGCTGTGGTATACATGAGATACACAAAATTTAAGTTAATTTTAGGAAAAGAAAACCAACCATTAAATGGAGATGACACTGGAATAATGAGTGAGGGTGCGCAGATAGAGCTAGCCCCAGGAATGGGCAACATCCTCATGCAAGAATGTGGGACATCCTGTGAAATGTCTAATACTTGGAAGTCTTTCTACTAGATGGGAGTGAGCTGTAGTTTTTTTTTCAGCTTTACACTTTACTCACCCTCCTCGCACAAATTCATAAAGGTTTTAAAAGGAACAGAAAAAAATCCTTTCCTGAACTGCATTTAAGCACTGCATTGATTTTGCAGTGAGAAATTATTTCTGAGTCAATTGAATAACTTCTTCACCAGGCTACATGACCAACATTAAATTCAGGAGTTGGGAAACTGCTGTCTAAGTTGCTTGCGACGCTTCTCCACAAGCTTTGCTATACTGCTCAACAAGAGATTCAGAGGCGAAACACACAAAGGTTGTGAAATTCTGGTATATACCCATAGATAAACAAACATACCAGAGGGGAAAATATCAGGGCTTGTTCATTCAAGTGCAGGTGATGTTTTAAAATAGTAGGACAACTCAATTTCTCCCCAACTGCCCTAGCACTGAAAATTGACTCGAGTCATAATCCTCCTGACTTTAATTATCACAAGATCTTCTAAACTTTTTTTTCTCATCTTTTTCTTTGTCTCTTCTTCAATTTTCTCATAATCCTACTTTTTTTTTAAAAAGATGTCAGCATAAGCTGCAAAGTTCAGCCTCAGTTTTGGTGTGTACTACTGGGAGAGAAAATTGTCTCATGGTGTAAGCACTGGACTGTTAATCCAGAGACGAGGTAATATTCTGGGGACCTGGGTTTGAGCCCTGCTGCAGATGATGGGATTTGAATTCAATAAAAAAATCTGGAATTAACAGGCTAATAATGAAACAATGAATCCATTGTCAATTGTTCAGAAAAACACATCCCCTTCTCTTGTCAAGAGGAAGGAGGCTTATGTAGAAATGAGGCATGAAGGCTCAGTTAGGGCGCTCGAGAGTTACAAGTTAGCCAGGAAGGACCTAAAGAGAGAGCTAAGAAGAGCCAGGAGGGGACATGAGAAGTCTTTAGCAGGTAGGATCAAGAAAAACTCTAAAGCTTTCTATAGGTATGTCAGGAATAAAAGAATGACTGGAATAAGATTGGGGCCGGTCAAGGACAGTAGTGGGAAGTTGTGCGTGGAGTCCGAAGAGATAGGAGAGGTGCTAAGTGAATATTCTTCATCAGTATTCACACAGGAAAAAGACAATGTTGTCGAGGAGAATACTGAGATACAGTCTATTAGACTAGACGGGATTGAGGTTCATAAGGGGGAGGTGTTAGCAATTCCGGAAGGTGTGAAAATAGATAAGTCCCCTGGGCCGGATGGGATTTATCTTAGGATTCTCTGGGAAGCTAGAGAGGAGATTGCAAAGCCTTTGGCTTTGATCTTTACGTCGTCATCAGTCTTCTGGCACTATTCCTGAAGACAGAGACTAGCAAATGTTGTCCCCTTGTTCAAGAAGGGGAGTAGAGACAACCCTGGTAATTATAGACCAGTGAGCCTTACTTCGGTTGTGGGTAAAGTGTTGGAAAGGATTATAAGAGATAGGATTTATAATCATCTAGAAAGGAATAATTTGATTAGGGATAGTCAACACGGTTTTGTGAAGGGTAGGTCGTGCCTCACAAACCTTACTGAGTTCTTTGAGAAGGTGACCAAACAGGTGGATGAGGATAAAGCGGTTGATGTGGTGTATATGGATTTCAGTAAAGCATTTGATAAGGTTCCCCATGGTGGGCTATTACAGAAAATACGAGGCATGGGATTGAGGGTGATTTAGCGGTTTGGATCAGAAATTGGCTAGCTGTAAGACGACAGAGGGTGGTGGTTGATGGGAAATGTTCATCCTGGAGTTCAGTTACTAGTGGTGTACCTCAACGATCTGTTTTGGGGCCACTGCTGTTTGTCATTTTTATAAATGACCTGGATGAGGGCGTAGAAGGATGGGTTAGTAAATTTGCGGATGACACCAAAGTCGGTGGGGTTGTGGATAGTGCGGAAGGATGTTGCAGGTTACAGAGGGACATAGATAAGCTGCAGAGCTGGGCTGAGAGGTGGCAAATGGAGTTTAATGCAGAAAAGTGTGAGGTGATTCACTTTGGAAGGAGCAACAGGAGTACAGAGTACAGAGTACTGGGCTAATGGTAAGATTCTTGGTAGTGTGGATGAGCAGAAAGATCTCGGTGTCCATGTGCATAGATCACTGAAAGTTGCCACCCAGGTTGATAGCGTTGTTAAGAAGGCATACGGTATGTTAGGTTTTATTGGTAGAGGGATTGAGTTTCGGAGCCATGAAGTCACGTTGCAGCTGTACAAAACTCTGGTGCGGCCGCACTTGGAGTATCGCGTACAGTTCTGGTCACTGCATTATAGGAAGGATGTGGAAGCATTGGAAAGGGTGCAGAGGAGATTTACCAGGATGTTGCCTGGTATGGAGGGAAGGTCTTATGAGGAAAGGCTGAGGGTCTTGAGGCTGTTTACGTTAGAGAGAAGAAGGCTAAGAGGTGACTTCATAGAGACATACAAGATGATCAGAGGATTAGATAGGGTGGACAGTGGGAGCCTTTTTCCTCAGATGGTGATGGCTCGCACGAGGGGACATAGCTTTAAATTGAGGGGTGATAGATATAGGACAGATGTCAGAGGTAGGTTCTTTACTCAGAGAGTAGTAAGGGCGTGGAATGCCCTGCCTGCAAAAATAGTAGACTCGCCAACTTTAAGGGCATTTAAATGGTCATTGGATAAACATATGGATGATAATGGAATAGTTTAGGTTAGATGGGCTTCAGATTGGTTTCACAGGTCGGCGCAACATCGAGGGCCAAAGGGCCTGTACTGTGCTGTAGTGTTCTATGTTCTATATGTCCTTTAGAGAAGGAAACTGCCATCCTTACCTGGCCGAGACCATGTGACTCCAAACCAACAGTGTGGTTGACTTTTAACTGTGCTCTGTGCAATTAAGGATGGGCAACAAATGCTGGCCTAACCAGTGTTGCCATCATCCCATTAATGAATGAAAAAAGCTCTTCACTTAAGTTTCAGGTAATGAATCATTTCAAAGAAGAGAAATAACTCAGTTGTTTCTCATTGACCTTCAATGGCACAATTAGTGATGTCCTCAAGCCCTCCACTATCATCGTCTTGGAGGTCTACTGACCATTAGCTCTGATGGACCAATGAACACTACGGGTGCTAGAGTAGTTCAAAGGCTATATACATTGCAAGTTCCCAACACACCAAAACTTAACTGCCATCTACAAGGCTAAACATGGGAATACATATGAATTAAGAGAAGTAGGCTAACTGCTCAAACCTATTTTACTATTCAACAGGATCATGGCTGATCTGAAGGCCCCATCTTTCCTATGTACACCGAACAACATTTCAATTAAATTCTCATCATGTGACCAGATAGGTGAAGCTGCAATGTTAAGTAGTTCAACATTATTTGGTGCAAAGTGGCTCCCACTACATTTTGGCAGCAACATGTACAATGTAAAGGACACACTGCAACAACTTACTGTCAGTTTACTACCACTGCAGCAACTTACTGCAACTATATTGTCTTTCCTTCACTATCACAGTGTCAAAGTCCTGAAACTTCCCTAACAGCACTATGGGTCTCCAGCACCAAGGACTGCAGCAAATTAAGATGGCAGCTTCCCACCACCTTCTCCTGGGCAACCAGGGATGGGCAATAAATGGTTGTCTGGTCAGTGATTCCCTCATCCCACGGATCTAATAAAAACAAAAGAACTTGCAAGGGTTACCCCGACACTGTACTATGAATGACAAAGTAGCCGTCTCACCTCAGTCACAAAGATGCACAAGTCCCACTCCAGAAACTGGAGCCCAAAATTTAGCTTGGCACTTTAGTGCAATACAAAGGCAGTGCTGCACTGTTGGAGGTGCCAACTTTCCAGGAGACATCTCAAATGGATGCAAAAGATTCGAAGACACTTTTAAAGAACAGGGGAAATCTCTGTTCTGACCAATGTTTATTCATCACCCAACAACACTAATTCAGACCGGCTGACCAATATCACACTTCTGTTTTTGAAACATTGCTGTGCACAATTTGGTTGCCCTGTTTCCAATATTACAACCGACTGTAATTACACATTCAAAAAGTACTAATTGGCTATAATTGATGGGATGCCCAATGTCATGAAAGACTTCACATTAAATACAAGTTCTCTCTTCCTTTCCCCATCCACTGCCCCCCTCAATTTTTTAATCACTGTAAAAAAGGACAGGCACAGTAATATCTTGGAAATATGATCATTTCCAAGTTCCAGTCCAACTCATGCACCATCTCAATTTGGATAGCTCAGCAAGACAATATCCTGAAATTCCCTACCCATTATCATCATGAGGGCTGTATCGTCACTGTTCAAGGTGAAAGACCACCACCTTTCCAATGGAGCTCATCATGAGAAATAAATACAATCTTGTCCACTTTAAAGATAAATGAAAGAAACTGACCCTCAACCAATATTTGTAGTCTGGATTTCTATGCATTGACCTTATTCTGAAAAATACACGCTTCTAAGCACTGAATAAGAAGCATCATTGGGCTTCACTATGACAATGATTACTGTGGAAGTACGCTGAAATTTTCTGGTTCACAGCATAGATGGAGATATTCCATGTATGAGAGGGAATGGAGGCATGGTCCATAAATGGAGTCTACTGCATCATGGAGATCCCAGCCCCCATGCAGTCATTTTACAAGAAAAAAATTATTGGGAGAAAAGTGGGCAATTCAGGTGAAATTATGAAACTCTGCCTAATTAGAAACTGCTGTGCCATCCAGTTCTTTAAATATGTAAACCACTAATTGTCAGTTATTAGAAGGCAAAACATCATTGACAAAAGTTCTTACCTTTTAATGTAGTTCTTGCCGTAGAGAATCTGCTGCAGCAAAGTGACTATTGCAAAAGAACAAATAAAGATGAAAAACAGAGTTCTGTTTCCCAACAGATCTCTCCCCGAGGGATCTGAATACATTGTCTCTCAGAGGAAGAGGGTCGTGGATGAGTACCGAAGTCTCTCTGGGCTTGTTTTAAGCCCTCTCCTGGGGAAATCTCCGACTTGCGGTAGGTATACCCAGTATATTTGCTAATCAACAGCAATTTTATCTACTGTACCAGTGAAGCCAAAGCGCCGCTCTGCGTTCAATTAAGTCCCATCAAATGCTCAACTGATTCTGACCGTTCACCCTTGAAATCTGTTGTCGCGGATGACTGAATCTTCTTAAAGCTGTGCAACCCCCAATTTTAAAGAAAAAAGTTCCTATTTTTGAAAATAAGAAAAAAATTGCAAAACAAAATATATTTTTGATGTTTCAACTGAACAAAGCAACACGAACTAACAGATTTAAAAGATGCAGAGATAAATGCTCCGGGTGTAAGGTTTTAATCGTAAACCTAATCGAGGGAGGCATTTCCAGGACAGAAAGCTGTCGCTCGCAAACATTGTTTTTCTCCCACTGATCGGCCGGTCTCCAGCAGCATGTCCAGGTGCCGCGCACACACAAGACTCTCGCTGCAGAATGACCTTCCAGCGGCTCCACAATTCAAGTCCTCTCTCCAGCCTGCAACAACATGCAAACAGGCTTCAATTACCTACCCCGCAAAATAAAACCATAAGCTGATATTAATACTTAAAAATAATCGTTTAAAAATGATAAGCCAGTCCACTCTTCAGTTGCAATCGAGTTAGTTTCTGTGTCTCATCTGCCCGTTTCACATTGCACTAGCTCTCCGGTTTGCTTCCCACTGCTTTTTCAATCTGCTCAGTCTCTCAGAATAATCAACAAGGTCACTAGCGCATCTTGTCAAGGACAAAAATTTTTAACCCCCCCCCCCCTAAAACATACGTCCAGCGATTCTACAAACACATACATTCCATTTGGGCCAACTATTTAATTGGTATACAAATTAACATATTTTAAATTTGTTTCCACGGTGCCTCTAAACATAACGGCGAGCGATTACAACGATCTTCAAAAAAATCCGAAATGCTGAAGTAACAAATTATTACAAAACACTATCATAGATTAAATTATGCAGCACTAAATCTGCATGAATATGCTACAGAGCATGAAAGTTTACAAATGGCTGTTGTTGGCGTTAGTATACGCCACATGAAATTCCATTTCTCGATCCTGCAATATTGTTAAGCTTTTGCAGATATCTGACGTCTCTCTACATGCCTGACTGAAAATAACGGCAAGGACAACAGGGCACTGGCATCGACAAAGGTTGGGAATAAACCATCACAAGAGGCTGTTCGGCCCCCATGTTTGTATTGGCTGTCAATGTTCCCTTTAAGCTCCGAGTGTCCACGCATGCCGATCAGCACTTCCCGGTTTCGGAAATTGCTGCCCCGTGCGGACTTCAAAAGGTCCTGGCAGACAAAGACAAAGTCTGAGGAAATGTTCGGCTATCCAACGAGCATTATGGCTTAGTACCGTGCTCCTGTCTTGTCCTGTACCCTTACGTATTACTTCTATTCAAATATTCATGTTATGCCCTTTTAAAATCCTCAATCTAATCTGTTTTACTTCTCTTTTAGGCAATGTATTCTAGAACCTAACTATTTGCTGTGTGGAAAAAGTTTTTTCTGCATCATATTTGCTCGTTTGCAAATCACTTTAAATCTTTGCCCTCTTAATTCAATCTTTTCACAAGCAGGGGCAATTTCTTCCTATCTACTCTATCCAGTCCCTCATGATTTGAAAATCTGCTGGGTCTCCTCTTAACCACCTTCTCTCCAAAGGGAACAGTACCATTGTCTCCAGTCTATCCTCATAACTGAAGTTTTTCATCTCTGGAACCATTTTTGTAAATCTGTGTTCACATCCTTCCTATTGTGTTACATATCTAGACACAATACTCTGGTGAGGTCTAATAGTGCCTTGTATAATGATATAATGAAAAGAAGCCATTCAGCCCATAAATCTGCACTGACTCTTTAAAAAAGCATCCCACCCAGACCCAGCTCTCCCATTCCTATAATCCCATGGCTAATCCACCAGCCTGAACTCTACAGGACAATTTAGCATGGCCAGTCCACCTAACCTGCAAATTTTTGCACTGTGGGAAGGAAACCAAAGCACCTAACAGAAATCCACACAAACACGGAGAACACAAAATTCCACACAGTCAGCAGAGGCTGGAATTGAACTTAGGTGCCTAGGGCTATGAGGCAGCAGTGCTAACCACTGAGCCACCATACCACCCTAGCTCAGCATAACCTTCTTTGTCTCGCACTCTTATGTCCCTGTTAATCAAGCCCAAAATACTTCAAGTATTATTTAGCAGTTCTCCACCTATCCTGCTACCTTCAATGATCTGTGCACATATGCATCCAAGTTCCTCTGCACCTGCATCCCCTTCAGTGTTGTGGCCCTCCTAATTTGTACTTGCTGCCTATGTTGTTCCTATCAAAATCCATCTTGAAGTTAATCTGCCACCTACTTGTCTATGTCCTTATTAAGGTCTTTACAATTTACAGTGCTTCAATTTTACACATCAGAACTAAATCATTAATATATACCAGGAAAAGCAAGGGATCCAATACTGATCCCTGGACATCTCCACTACAAGCCTTTCTCGAGCTCAAAAAATATATATTGACCATTACTCTATCTTTCCTATTATTCTGCCAACTTTGTATCGACACTGCTCCTTTTATTCCATGGCCTATAACGTTTCTACAAGTCTGTTGAGAGGCACTACATTTATTGCCTTCTGGAGGAGCATAGAGCAGACGAGGAGCTGGCACGAGAAGAAACATATACATCTTTGGATCATTGGAATCTCTTCTGGAGTAGAAGTGACCTGATAAGGAGGACAGGTCACACCTGAATTGGAAGGGGAGTAACATACTGGCAGCAAGATTTGCTAAAGCTGCTCATAATATTTAAACTAGTAAGAGGGGTGCAGGAAGGGGGAGGGGTGGTGAATGGTGATGGGGGAGGTACCAGAGAGGTAGTGAGAACAGGGATCAGTCTGTGTCTGGTGCAGTTGGGAAAAGGAGCAAGTGAAATACTCAAGGCAGGCAGGAGCAAAGCAGAGAACGTGGTAGGACTGATAAATTAAACTGCATTTATTTCAATGCAAGGGTCCTGACAGGTAAGGCAGATGAACTCAGGGCATGGTTGGGAACATGGGACTGGGATATCATAGCAATTAGAGATGTGGCTCAAGAATGGACAGGACTGGCAGCTTAATGTCCCCAGGTATAAATGCTATAGGAAGGATGGAAATTAGAGGGGGAGTGGTGTTTTTGATTAGGGAATAAGATTATGGCTATACTCGGAGGATAATCCAGGGAGTATGTCCAGGGAAGTTACTTGGGTGGAACTGAGAAATAAGAAAGGGATAATCACTTTTTTTTGGGATTGTACTATAGACCCTCCAATAGTCAGCAGTAAACGGAGATGCAAATTTGAGAGGAGATCCCAGTTATCTATAAGAATAATAGACCAGTAACGGTTGGGGATGTTAACTTCCCAAACAGATTGGGACTGCCATAGTGTTAAGGGTTTGGATGGAGGGGAATTTGTTAAGGGAGTACAAGAAAATTCTGATTCAGTATATGGATGTACCTACTAGAGAAGGAGCAATACTTGCCTACTATTGGGAAATAAGGCAGGGTAAGTAACTGAGGTGTCAGTGGGGGAAGCACTTTGGAGCAAATGATCATAATTCTATTAGTTTTAAAATAGTTATGGACAGACTTGATCTAAAAGTTAAAGTGCTAAATTGGAGGAAGGTCAATTTTGACACTATTAGACAAGAGCTTTCAAAAGTTGATTGGATGCAGATATTTGCAGGTAAAGGGAGAGTTAAGTGGGAAGCCCTCAAAAAAAAGTGTCCAGAGACAGTATGTTCCTGTTAGGGTGAAGGGCAAGGCAGATAGATGATGAGAATGTTGGATAACTACAGAAATTGAAGTTTTGGTCAAGAAAAAGGAGGAAGGTGAACCTCAGAATATGAGTTCCCTGATTGGGGCTGTTAATCTTGTCCAATCAGGGAGCCCTTGTTGACAGATATAAATAGGAGTGTCAAAGATTCTATTCACTAAGAGGTGGCTCTGAGGAAGTTGGATCAGTGTCAAGGACTTTCCATGTGTGGAAGTCTGATGAGTGGTGTGCCAAGGATTGGTGAGGGGAGGCGATGGCCTAGTGGTATTACTGCTGGACTGTTAATCCAGAGACCCAGCTAATGTTCAGGGGGCTGGGTTCGAATCTTGCCATGGCAGATGGTGGAATTTGACATCAATAAATATCTGGAATTAACAGTCTAATGATGCCCATGAGTCCCTGTCAATGGTTGGGGAAAACCCATCTGGTTCACTGATATCCTTTAGGGAAGGAAACTGCCATCCTTACCTGGTCTGGCCTACACATGACTCCAGACCCACAGCAATGTGGTTGACTCCAAACTGCCCTCAGGACATTAAATGCTGCCTATCCAATGATGCCCTTGTCCCGTGAATGACTAAAAGAGCACCTCCACTGAGTTTAGGGAAGACGAGAGATTGCCAGTATCCCTGCAATTTCCACTTCCATTTTCTTCAGTATCCTTGGGTGCATCTCATCTGGTCATAATGCCCTGTTAACTTTAAATATTGATAGACAATACAACATTTTTGAACTAACTACAGAGGGTGGTATCCCATCACTAAGTCACACTTCATAGTCAGATGTACAGCACAGAAACAGACCCTTCAGGCCACACATCTATGCTGATTAGATATCCTAAATTAATCTAGTTCCATTTGCCAGCATTTGGCCCATATCTCTACAAACTTCTTACTCATCTACCCATCCAGACGGCTTTTAAATTTTGTAATTGTACCCACCTCCACCACCTCCTCTGGCAGCTCACTCCATACATCACCACCCTCTGCATGAAAAAAAGTGCCCCTTAGGTCCCTTTTAAACTTTACTCTCTCAGCTTAAACTAGAGGTCATAGGTTTCAGACTCCTCAACCCCAGGTAAAAGGCCTTGTCTATTTACCCTATCCATGCCCCTCATGATTTTATAAACCTCTATAAAGGTCACCCATCAGCCTCTGACTCTCCAGGCAAAATAGCCCCAGCCTATTCACCTTCCCCTATAGCTCAAACCCTCCAACCCTGGCAACATTCTTGTGAATCTTTTCTGAACCCTTTCAAGTTTCACAACATCCTTTCTATAGCAGAGAGCCCAGAATTGCACACAGTATTTTAAAAGTGGCCTAACCAATGTCCTGTACAGCCACAACACAGCTTCCCATTCCTATACACAATGCACTGACTAATAAAGGCAAGCATACCAAATACCCTCTTCACTATCCAATCTACCTGCAACTCTACTTTCAAAGAACTATGAACCTATACACCAAGTTCTTTGTTCAGCAACACTCCCCAGGACCTTACCATTAAGTGTATAAGTCCCACCTGATTTGCCTTTCAAAAAGATAGCACCTCATCTGCCACTCCTCAGCTCATTGAGCACTAGACAACTAAATTGGAAGTGGCAGTCAAAGCCAGCACCAGCAGAAAGTCCTTGAGACCAATCCAGCTTCCTTAGAGTGAATAGAATCTTTGACACTCCTATTTATATCTGTCAACAAGGAGTCCCTGATTGGACAAGATTAACAGTCCTGATCAGGGAACTCATATTCTATGAGGTTCACCTGGCTGACCTTGTTCCAATCACTACAAATTTCTCCTTATCAATTTTGTACCCATTCCAGTGACAGTTTCCACCACCAGCCCCATAGCCTAGGTAACATCTACCTACTTGCTAAGACAAATGTAAATTATTCATTTAATTCCTCAATCATGCCTTTTGCTTCTATGTATAAATCCACATTTTGGGCCTTAATCAGCCCCAACTCCTCCTTTTACTACTGATGTCTTTTGGATTTCCCTACATGTTGGCCACTATTTTTTCTCATAATCCCTCTTCAGGGTCATAGGGATTGACAGCAGAGAAAAGGGCTTCTCGGCCCATCACATCTGTGCTAGTCAAAAACAATCATCTAACTATTCTAATCCCATTTTCTACCACTTGACCCACAGCCTTTAGTATCACAAATGTACATCTGAATATTTTTTAAATATTATGAGGGTTTCTGTCTCTAAAATCCTGCAGTCAGTGAATTCTAGATTCCCACCACCCTCTGGGTGAAAAGATTTTTCCTTACATCTCCTCTAAACCTTCTGCCTCTTGCCTTACTTAAATCTATGCCCCTGATACTTGATCCCTCCATCAAGGGGAAAAGTTTCTTTCTGTCTACCCTATCTATGCAGTGTGGTGACCTTCAGGCTAAACAACCTTCATTTGTCTCTCTGTTAAGAAAGAGGAGTGTTATGGTCTAGGACTATGGCGACTTTACCTCTCTATGGCCCTCATAATTTTATACATCTCAATCATTTTTCTTTCATTTGCAAATGCACTGATCAACCCACCCACATTCAAGTCTAAATCATTTATATTTATCACAAACAGCAAGGATCCCAACACTATACAGGCAACCCAACTGGACATAGACTTCCAGTCAGGAAAAAACCCTCAACCATTATCCTCTGCTTCCCGCCATGGATCCAATCTGCCAAATTTCCTTGGATCTCATGGGTTCTTACCTTTGCTATCAGTCTCCCATGTGAAACCTTATCAAAAACCTTTCTGAAGTCCAAGTAGACTACATCAAAAACTTGTCCTCATCTACATACCTGGTCATCTCTTTGAAAAATTCAATTAAGTTGGTCAGACATGACCTCCCCTTAACAAAACCATGCTGACTGTTCTTGATTAATCCCTGTCTCTCCAAGTGAAGATTAATTATGTTTGTCAGAATTGCTTCCAATAGTTTCACGATAACCAAGGTTATATGACTGTAGTGTTCTGGTTTATACATAGAAGAATCATGGAATCACTACAATGTGGAAAGAGACCTTTTGGCCCATCACATCCTAGCCTTGCTCCCTTCTGGAATAACAGCATAATATTGGTTGTCCTGCAGCCAGAGAAGAATTGAAAAATTTTGCAAGCGCCCCATTTCCACTCTTGCCTCACTAAACAACCCGGGATACATTTCATCTGGTCTAGATTTATCTACTTTTAAGCCTGCCAGACCACGCAGAACCTCCTCTACTATGTTTTTCCACCTCTTCATTGATCATTCTATATTCCTTCTGGATATCAATTGTATTTTCTATCTTACACCTGTCAGAAGCACACATTTTCTTCTTTGTTTTAATTTTAATCTTCTTTTTCATCCAGGGAACATTGAATTTGTTTGTTCCCCTTTTCCCTTTTGAGGGAATATACACTGATCGTAATTGAATTGTTTCCTCTATGAAGGTCTATTGTTCAGCTTTAAAAATTAAGAAAAAAAAGACCAATGGTGTAAAAGGTGAAATCGAATTATTTTGTTTGTTCATGGAATGTGCATATCATCAGCGCCTATTGCCTATCACTCTACTTCCTTTCCAGTAGTATATTATCTATAGAGTACAATAAGCAATGTAGTTGCGCCCTTGTTCCTTAGGTCTAGCCAATCTAATTCTTGAACCCACTGAGACGTCCTCTTTCTCCAGCACTACTCTCTCTAAACCAGCGCAACCAACATCGCTGCCCTCTTTCCTTCCCTAATAACATATGAGGAAATGGATTTGGAAGCAGCTGTCGGAGGAACCTTGGTAAATTGTTGCAGTACATCTTGTCAATCTTGCACGCTGCTGTCACTGTGTGTCGGTGGGGGAGGGTGTGGAAGTCTGTAGATGTGGTGCCAGTCAAGCGGACAGCTTTGTCCTGGATGGTGTCAAGCTTCTTTGGTGTTGTTGGACCTGTAGTCTTCCAGACCAGTGGGGACTATTCTGACATACTCCTGACTTTGTATTGTAGTGTGGGCCGCTGGTGTACTAGATGACACGTCTGGCTATGGATCAGAAGATTGTACATTCAATTTCTACCTAGCTCAACTGAGTTTTACATGGATAGGAAAGGTTTAGAAGGATGTGCGCCAAGTGCAAGGAAATGGGGTTAATGTGGATGGACATTTTGGTTGGCATGAACCTGTTTGGGCCAAAGGATCTGTGCTGTAGGACTCTATGACTGGGCTTGTATTCACTGGAATTTAGAAGAATAAGGGGGGCATCTCAGAGAAAAATATAAAGTCCTGATGGGACTGGACAGGCTAGATGCAGGAAGGATGTTCTTGATGTTGGGGAAATCCAGAACCAGGGGTCACAGTCTAAGAATAAGGGGTAAGCCATTCAGGACTGAGATGAGGCAGAATTTCTTCACTCAGAGAGTTGTGAACTTGTGGAATTCCCTCCTACAGGAAGCCATTGGGGTCATTTCATCAGATATATTCAAGAGGGAGTTGGACGTGACCCCAGCAGCTAAAGGGATCAAGGGGTATGGAGAAAAAGCAGGAATGGGATATTGAGATTGCATGATCAGCCATGATCATATTGAATGATGATGCAGGCTCAAAGGGCCTATTTTCTATGTTTCTAACTGAAAGCAGACAGGGAAAGTTATTAAAGGTCTTATAGAGATCTACAGCACAGACAAAGCTCCATCATGTCAAAGGCAACCATCTAAATATTCTAATCCTATTTTCCAGCACTGCACCCAAAGGCTTCAATGCCTTGACATCGCAAAAACACATTACTTCTTAAATGTTATGAGGATTTCTGCCTGTACCACCCTTAACAGGCAGTGAGTTCTAGATTCCCACCACTCTCTGGGTGAAAAGTTTTTACTCACATCTCTTCTAAATCTATGCCCCCGGTCATTAATCCTTACATCAAGGGTAAAGTTGCTTCCTGTCTATCACATCTATGCCCTTATAATTTCATACATCATCTGGAGGAAAGGAGCAGTCAATGTTTCTGGTATTACCCTTCTTCAGGACTGGATGTGGGGGGTAGGGAGAGCTGCAGATAAAGGGAGGGGTGGAGGCGGAATGGTGGTGATTGGTGGACATTGCTGGTAGGTACAACCTGGTTGGTCGATGGGAGGGATGAATCTGGTTGGTGGCTGGCGGGGAGGGTCAGAAAGTGGAATGGAAGGGAGGAGGTGGGGCTGGAAGGGAAGCTGGGAGATGGTTGGGAAGGTTATTTGAAATTGGAAAACTCAATGTTGAGTCCTCCAGGATGTCAGGTGCCCAGGCAGAAGATAAGGTGTTGTTCTTCAAATTTGCATTGCAAATAGCTGTGACACTGGAGAAGGCTGAGGACAGTCATGTCGGAGGGGGTGTGGGGTGGGGAGTTGAGATAGGCAGTGACCGGGAGATTAGGTTGACCATTATGGGCCAGGCGGAGATGCTCAGCGAAACAGTCACCTAGTCTACGATTGGTCTCACCAATGTAGAGAAGACCACATTGGGAGCACAGGATGCAATGTATCGTCCTCAAATACTTTCGCCAACTCCAATTAGACCCCACCACCCAGAATATTTTCTACTCCCCTCCCCTCTCTGACTTCCACAAGGGCCATTCCCTTCGCCACTCCTTAGTTTGCACCACACTCCCCACCAACTACTCCAACCCACCCAGTATCTTCACTGTAACCGTAAAAGATGCAACACCTGCCCACATACCACCTCCCTCACCTCCATTCAGGGCTCTAAACAGCATTTCCAAGTGAGACAGAGTTTAACCTGCATCTCCTCCAATCTAATCTATTACATCCAGTGCTCCTGATGTGCTCTTCTCTACACTGGTGAGAAGAAACGTAGACTAGGTGACCATTTCGCTGAGCATTTCCGCCTGGCCTGTAACAGCCAACCTAACCTCCCGGTTACTTCCTATTTCAACTCCCTGTCTGACATGTCTGTCCTCGGCCTCCTCCAGTCGTAGCGACTCGGAACGCAAATTTGAAAAACACCTTATCTTCCACCTGGACACCTTCAAGCCCAGAAGACTCAACATTGAGTTCTTCAATTTCAAATAACCTTCTCAACCATCTCCCGCTTCCCCTTCCAGCCACCAACCAGATTCATCCCTGACATTGACCAACCAGTTCATACCTACCACCAGTGTCCATCTATCACCACCATTCTGCCTCCACCCCTCCCCCTACCCCCCACATCGAGTCCTGAAGAAGGGTAATACCCAAAACGTTAACTGCTGTTTTCCTCCAGATATTGCCTGGCCTGCTGTGTTCTTCCAGCCTCCTGTTTGTCTACCTTGGATTCTAGCATCTGCAGTTCTTTTTTGTCTTTAACATAATTTCATACCTCAGTTATGTCCCCTCTCAATCTTCTCTGCTGCAAGGAAAACAATCTCGGTCTGTACAATCTATCTTCATGGCTGAAACTCACCAGCCCAGACAGCATCCCAGTAAACTATTCTTAGTTGTAAATTTTAGTGCAAAACATATTCTGAAATTTTATGACATCTGATACTGAAAGGTGTATTCACAAGAATCAATTATGTGGGCGAAAGCAAAATACCGCAGACCCTGGAAACCTGAAATAAAAACAAAAAGCGCTAGGGGGAAACAAAACACTACATCGAAGTCTGCAGAATCCTCTTCTTACTGATGAAATGAATGATTCTGGCCGAGCGGATGGTTTGACCTATTGTTTCTGTGCGAACGCAGAAACTACAGTGAACTCTGGCGGGCACGGTGTGAAACTTCGGGCCGTCGGCGCGCGCGGGGACAGTCAGGGGCCGGGCAGTTGGCGCGCAGGCGCGTTCCTTGTCTCTCTCCTTTTCCTGCTCCATGTTGGTGGCCGACATTGTTGTAAGTCTGGTAACTACAATCCACCGGCATCTGCAAACATGTTGGGACATTATCTGTCGGTCTCCACGGGAGCAGAGAATGCAGATACTGTTGATATCTGTATTTCAACTTTATTCCAGATACAGCCGACGGAATTCGAGAAACAGGTGCCGTTTTCATTTTCCACATACGTGGTAGTGTTGGAAGGGGTTCCATAAACCATCGGTTGGTGTAGTGCGAGTTATTTCTAACGGAATTGCCTCAGAAAGCAAGTCTTCAGACACAGCTTGAAGTTTCGAACAGTCCGGGAGTTCGAGAAAGATCATCGAGTTCTCTTTCTGTTTACGAACACGTGCTATTCTTATCTGCCTTAAAGTTTTCATCCCGGCGGTTTACAGTCTGTTCTGAAGCTTGGTTCAAATTCAGGTAACGCTGCCAACATCCTTATCCCAAACGATCATTGCTCATCCGGCAACCCCGACGAAAAAACACAACACAAAACACATTCAAAAATGTAGTTAAGAGACAATTTATTGAAAGAACTTTGCGAAGAATGCATTACATTTCTCCAGCGATAGGCTTAATAATCACTCAATCTTGTGAATTATCACTGTTTAATTTCTCTGTCAACTAACTCTTTCCAACCTTTCTCTTTAAACTGCTGAAGATGCTTAATCTTTGTTTCCAGCTCTGGTGTCCTGAATACTTCATTCTAATTCTTACAGCCTTGAGACTTGTACATACTAAACTACTGCCCTTCCGCTAGAATGACTTCTTTTTCTGAACTCAACCATGTATTTCTGTGTGCTAAAGCTCAACTTTGTAAACAGTCAGCATGAGCTCCCCAGGTAATTGATCCAGTTACTTAAGTCATATCCTTTCCTGGAAAAGCGGTCTTGAGATCATTGCCCAAAACGACTTCAGTCTTTAAGGATAGAGAACTGTCACAACTGTTACATTCACAAAACTGAAAAATAACGTCTATTTTTCCTCCACTTTCAAATCCATAGGTCCTACATCACACCCTCTTTCTCCTCTCTGCAGTAATTCTATCCCCCTCTCCCTACCCCCCCCCCCACCTCTCCCTCTTTCTCCCCCTCCCATTAGACCATAAGAAATAGGCACAGTAGGCGGCGGTCTGAGTCTGCTTCACCATTCCATAAGATTGTGGCTGGTCCAACATTCGTCACGTCCATTTTCTGTGTTTTCCCTGTAACCCTTTATTCCCCTCTTGATCAAGAATCTATCCGAGCCTTAAATACCTGCAAGAACTTTACTACCACAGCTCTCTGTGGCAAGGAATTCCAAAGATACCCAATCTGTCGAGAGAAGAAATTCATCTTCTTTGAGGCATTTTCATTTTCTATCAAAATTTCCTGTTTGTGAACTGTTGTTTTACTGACAGTAATATACTATTCATGCAAATATATTACTAATATATTTACATGAAACATTGATTTTCATAACAATCGTTTTCTACATGAGTCCACTTCAATCATAGCATTTGTTTTAATGTTTTTTTCTTGACAAAGGTGCTATAATATTATGTTTTTCTCTTAGATTGTGTGGTTATAGCATTAAAATCCAATAAAACAAGTCTCAGATTCTCATCTCATCTGTACAGGAAAACTCGTGGACTGTATAAATCATTCTCTGTGGAATTGTTGGATATGTAGATTTCTGGTTATTAGTGGCATACTTGGTTATAGGGTGAGTAGAGAGCATCGAAGTGTTTGATCAGCTACAATCGTTCCGAATGGTGGGGCAGGCTTGACAGTCTGAAGGTCTGTTCCTGTTCGTGTGTTCCTAAAGCAGCCTTCTTGATTGGTGCCCCATCTAATACTTCTATATTAACTCCCACCACCAATGCACAGTGGTAGCTATCTACAAAATTCACTGCTACAACATAAAAGGTCATGCGACCGCAAATCGACAAGACCTACCATCTGGAAGGACAAAGGTAGTAAATATATGGAACCTATCATGTGGGCGAATTATACTGGCAAGGAATGACTTAAACTGTGGATTTAAAAGGGTAACAACATGAGAGTAAACTAACTAAGAATATATTATTAGAGCTTTTACGAATCTATAAAAGTAATATTGAACCCTTAGAAACAAAGAAAGGAGAAATCATGTGGTATAAAGAAATGTCAGAGACATTTACCAAATGTTTGGTCTGTCTTCACAGGGGAAGACAAATTGCATCCTATTGTATTGTCTTCACTGGACAAATCTTTTCAGTCAGTCAACAAGCTGAAGAGGATGACAGCACTGAAACACCACCCCTTTGAATTTCACCAATGAAAGAACTATCAAGAGCTTCCCAACTCATGGAAGACAAATGGAAATCTTTATTGAGTAAGCCCCAAACAGAGAACGAAGTGTCAAACTGAACAGGGTAATCTCTGAGGGTGTTAGTTACTGCAGGTAAATCGACTGGGTAAAGAAAAAGAAAACTGTTCGGTGCCTTGGGACAAATCTTCAAGATCCTGGCTCTTATCCCCTTAACTTGAAGAGGACCTGGCTATTAAAGATACTGCCTAAAATTCAAAACCAAAATCACTGTGACTTCAATTATTGCATTTCTATACACAGAAGGTACTTGTGTCTGTAGTTGCTGAGAGAAAGTGGGTCTTTGACTTTCAAAATCCAAAAAATAAAGGTCTTCTTCCAATCCGCTGCCACAACACAATAGCATGCGTCTATTTAAGATTGATTGGAACATTTTCCATATATTGCAAAATCCCTCTTGAAAAAGGCAATGTGCCAGCTCAGATTTTGGCTGATTTAAGATGAGAGGTTTTGAGAACAAGGTTCTGGAACAATCAGAGTACGATCATGGTTTGCATTCCCACCTGTTTCTGAAACTTGGAAAACCTGCAACAGGCATCTCAGTACCATTGGCAGTATCTTTGAAAGAACTTCGAAATCCAGTGGCTTTAAAGGCGGTGTAACAGTAAGGTCTTCCTTCAAGCCAACGTCAAAGCATGAATCACACAAAGCCGCCACTTTGTGAAGAGCTTTAAAGGTGTCCTCAAAACATTCCTGAAGAGGTCAGACATCTCCACCAACTGTAGACCCATCAAAAAAACTAATATTGAAACCTTAG